CCCCGGGGACATCCGGGGACATATAAGGCCCCCCCCCCCCCCCCCCCCCCCCCCCGCGCGCGACCAAGATTGCCTCGTAAATTAGGGGTGTTCCATGGTTTCCACTTGGAGGGCTCCTTGTTATAGTGGCGAATCATACCTACCGACCCCACGGAGAAATATCAACAAGACATGGATAGATCAACGGAAACAGATGGCCCAGGTGTCGACACGTTGCGGCCTTTGCCCGAGAAGTGCTTGTATGCATAAAACGAAGAAATTTCGATACTCATTGACCATCACGACGTGCGCGCGATAAACGCAGCAGCATCACATGTCGGGACACAACTTAACGCATCAGGCACACATAACAACGAATTCGGTGTTTCCTGAAACGACACCAACACCGACTATCGAACACATCGCCCCGCCCCAAAAAGACAACAACCAGGCATCCCTGACATAAAACCCAGCGGTCGAGGCGGTGCTGTGGGGAGCACACGCCCGCAGCACCGTGAAACTAGGCATGAATCTAAAAAAAAACTCACGGTTTGAGGCGTTCGACGTTCTTGTAGCGGGCCAAGCTGCCGTACGACGCCAACGTGTCCGCCGCCAGCATCACTCCGTCCCTGCCCGCACGAAACAACAGGGGCCACCATACACACGAGACGGCATAAAATTTAACTCCACCTTGGCCTCTGCATGCGCTAGAGATCGCACGCGTGCTAGGCAGAGGTGATCAGCTTTCGTCCGCACCGTGTACAGTACTGGCTATAGAGCGTAAGGATCCCCTACGCTCGTGCTCGACGTTTAGATCTCCCCCAGGGCCGAGCAATCTCTCGAGCACGGCTAGCGGTTGGTGCTGTCGACTTTGTGAGGCAGGCTGATACGGAAGGTCGCTATCTGCCAGAGCACAAGAAATAGAATTTTGCTTCAAACTGCCAGACTCGAGCTGTGGAACGTAGATTTCCAAGATGCCTTCATTGATGGACCAACGCAACGGCGGTAGGGATATGCAAACAGCCCGAACGCGACACCGATCGCACCGACTCGGTTCTTCTGTCATCCACCGCCGTGCACATCGATCGCCATCATGTCTACAAAAGATCGGAAACGAACGATTGTCGTGGCAGCTCTACGTTACTATCCTTGTAGACCTCACTTGTACTTGATGCCTAGAACCGAAGTACCCGTGACGATTGGCTGTGACGTGTACTGCCTTGTGCCGTCCATCGCGGCCGCGGCGTGCCCCGCTCCTCGAGCAGGACCGGCAGCGGAGTGGCAGAGCATGCTCGACAAAACCAAGGGTGAAAGCAGGAGGAAAGCTGCAGAAGACAGCAAGTGTGCGAGCATGCAACGACGTTTGAAAGCTGCGACGAACGAGCAACAAGGCACCGAGCACGCGGCAGGGAGTGTACGGGAGGGGTTAGCTTGGGCTGGCATGTATCACACCCGTACCTCGCGGCTGTCTTGTCTGTCTGTTTACCTCTCTCTCTCTACACCTCCACGCTCGTGGAGACGCCCACGCTATCCTGTGCGTGCACCGCAAAGGTTCTCCCTCATCTCGAGCGTCCTCGATTGGCTCTGTTAGGGGCTACCTGATGGACTGAAAAACTGGACTAAACAACCGCGACGGATTGAACAAAAGCAAACCAGCGGGAGCAACCTTGCAGCACAGAGTTAATTGTTCACTGTAAGATAATAGTAGATGGGAGTTGGTTGCGGCGATCATGGCCATGCCGGTTCCTTTCTTATGTGATGTGGCATCTCGTTTGTCTTTTGTACAGTTTGCCTGCTTTTAAGTACAGAGCACAACTGCAAGTGGGTCTGAAGTCTCCCCAAACCGTTCTACATGCTACGTTCACATGCTTCCAAAGCGGCGCCGGAGCCAGATGGAAACACCGCGTGTCTCGCAATCTTTCAGCTGGAACAAACACTTTCGGTTGGAGGCTGGTGCTCACACGGTACTGCGGCAAACTAGACACACCGCTGGCAACTAGGGTTGCTACAGCCACGTTGGACAACAACTTATTTCACGCAAGCGATTGGAATCGCCTGAAGACAGGCACATTGACCTACAACCTAAGGCACGGGTAGAGTTGGCTCGTACTCCACGCTACACCTTCGCACAACGCAGCAGATACGATCGACTTCGTCGCACTGCTGCAATTCTGCAGCTAAAAGTTCATCAGAGGTGGCACCACAGAAAACATCTGGAGAAGCTTGTGCTATTGCACCGTAGACGCTTCAACTTGAGTGTGCTCACCTCTTTGTGTCCGCGCACAACTACAGCACTTGTTGGGGTGGTACTGGGAGCTGTGCAACGCCCAAGTCCGAGATATAGGCAGTGAGCTCTGCCGAGGTCCTCAACGGGGGCTCCGTGGTTCTATCGTTTTCTAGCTACCCCGCGAACGGCTGTGCGTGTAGCCACGAACCGCCCTGTGCCTGGCCTGGCTTATCGGCGAGAGTGTTGGCTGTCTTTCTCACCCCCTGCCTATCTCCTCTCTCTGTCTCTTTCTCTCTCTCGTAACGCGTGGGGTGTGTGCTACACAAGGACGACACACTAGGATCCAGGTGGGCAAGGCTATTTAAATCTGTGCAAGCTGGCAGTGTGACAAAAGACACCACGAAGGAGCTTCGTGTATTCAAATGCTTTGGGCCAATTCACGGGCACCGCACACAGCAGCGTGTTCTCTGGCAGGCTGCCGTCGCAGGGTTGCTAGCAGCTGGCTGCTATGAAGTGTCGTCGATTCAATAATCAAAGGAAGCACGGGCACCGCACACAGCAGCGTTCTCTGGCAGGCTGCCGTCGCAGGGTTGCTTGCAGCTCGCTGCTATGCAGTGTCGTCGATTTAATCAAAGGAAGTTGTTAAGTTTTGCCGCCATTGAATTGTGCTCCCACCGATCTCTCTCACCTCCCCCCAGGTGTTTGCCATCCCGGGTTGGGTTTTCGTCGCTTGACAACAACGTTGTAAAACAAGCCAATTCACCTCGTGAACTCGGCAACCAGGTTACCGTTTTTTTTTTCTTACCTCTTTTTTTTTTTGGGCGGTAACCATAGACTAATGGTGGTCGAGTAGATCATGTTGGGCAGGGTGGACAATCCTCACTCCGCGCAAGGGGGATGATCGCACCACGTTGTGTTAAAATGCTCACGCATCCTCGAGNTCACTTCGTGAACTCGGCAACCAGGTTACCGTTTTTTTTTTCTTACCTCTTTTTTTTTTTGGGCGGTAACCATAGACTAATGGTGGTCGAGTAGATCATGTTGTGCGGGGTGGAGAACCCTCACTCCGCGCAAGGGGGATGATCGCACCACGTTGTGTTAAAATGGTCAAGCACCCTCGAGGCAGTTACACAGTGCTTACAACTGTCTCTGGAAGTGAAAGCACCAGAAAGTAAATTAGTCATACGCAGCTGTCATCCGTACGCAAGGAAGTAAGCACAAGATGCGGGAACACCCGTAGCAGGATGCAGCGCACCCTTCATGCGGCTCGCCGAATACCTCACGGCGTTTCGCGCTTGGTGATGTGAGAGCCTGGTCCGGTGAGAACCCGGCGTGCTCCGTCCCGGCTTTGTAGGGATGCGAGGTCAATGGTCTAACGACTACAGCATGCACGACTATGAGTGCACCCCCCCCCTGATCTCTCTCAACAATCACTATCAGGTGTCCCGCTAACCCACCGAGATCAAGGCAAGATGGCTAAGGGAGGGCCGGACTTGAAACGCTATATGGACAAGACGTTGTCGCTGAAGCTTAATGGAAACAGAACAGTCAAGGTAAGGATACGAAAGTAACGACTTGTCGTCAAGGTGCTAGACTAGAATACGTGTATCTCTGCACGTTGTTGAACGCCCTTGCTATCATACCGCTGAATGAAATACCCGCGGTAAATCGCCGCAGATAGCTTGGCTAGCGGGCCTTTGGTGCAGCTGTAAACGTGCAGCCGTCTTCGAAGTGGAGCCCAGCGTGTACGCGACCCTCTGCGTCTATTCCTGGACATGCCCAGCGAGAGAATCTCCCACCTTGGATACATCCTCGTCATGTGTTGGATCCCGTAGCAAACGCCAACAGCGTATTGATGTTCAGATTGAATCATCGGTCAACCTGTTTGGAGTCACAACTCTGCACTTCTGCACTTCTTCGGTGTGTAGACGGGTATGCGCAGGCCTATTTGAGCAATCTCTTCTTGGTGACTCTAGTGCATTGCATTACTCGTCCGCTCAGGCGTCGATAAAAGATGCGAGCAATCAGTGTACCGACAACCCGTTCTCCGCGCCTCCGATTCTTCTTGCGATAAACGTAACTCACACAAAGGGTCATGCCTGCAGAGTAGGCGATCCCTGACACGCCCGTCAACCGAGCGCCGTTGCTCCTCCAACGTGACCGTTTTAAACCCTTTGGTTGACGTTGCGGAAGACGTACAAGTATGCATGCCCTCAAAAATCCGACGAAACCCGTTGGTCACGATATCGGTAGACCGAGCACACGCACCCCTCGCACACATCAGATGTACGGTATCATCCCAGGGGCGATCCGCTGTTTCCCACCATCGTACTTTTCACACGGGACTGTCGCTCACAAAGCCATCACCGGCGGAGGCCTTTGTTCGTCGGCTTTTTTGTCATCGGTCGCGGGCTGAGGTAAACATCAATTACTGCTTTGTCGTGACCTGACTGATTTCTCGCTCTTTCAGGGCGTCTTGCGAGGTTACGACCCGTTCATGAACCTGGTGCTAGACGAGACGACCGACCCTGCCTCCTCCGACAAGAAGATGGGGATGGTCATCATCAGAGGAAATAGCGTCGTGCAGTTCGAGATCCTGGACCCGCTCCGCTTCTAAAGCGACCCTGTATGGTCTGTAGACATATATCGTACTCGTGGTGGCGCTATTGAGCAACAATTTATGCGGCACACAGAAAACGGGGTTGAATGATGAATGTTTCAGCGCGCTCTACCTTGCTCGTCACCGAGATGGATGTCTTCGAGTGGGAACTAGCTGACTGGTGGTGAGCGTCCCAAGTACGGGGGAGGTCTGCAACAGCATAGTGTTGTTTGACGTTGTTACACTGTTGATTTCGGTGTTTTTTTTGTGGCTTGTCTTCGCCCCAACAAGGCCGTCGTTTTTGGATCATCGCCTGAGTCCGATTCGCTGGTGGGTGGGATAGTCCTACACCGCACAAGGTGTCGGCCTGCGCTGAAGAGGAGAGAGGGGTTTCCCTTTTCGCAGCCGTCAGGGTGTCTGTCGTACTAGCGCTGCGTGGTGTGCGCGTGCCACCGGAAGAGAGTCCCTTTTTGTTTGTCGTTCCTCGGGAAGAAAGGAGTTCATTGTGCAAGGGCGTTACGAGGCTCGGGTGAGCATTTTCGTGGCCCGCTACACGCCAGGGTGCTACTTTGGTATGCGCTATGCATACGACCACACCACGCGCGCACTCTGTTGTAAAAAGTTAGAACTGGATGAGAGAGTCTTCGGCTCCCAAGTGTGCAAGTTTTCGTGCGTTGCATGTGATGTGTACTCGTACACATGCTTTATGGAGTGATGATCTTCTCCACTCACTCAGTTCGTGGCCACCCCATCAACCGTGAGTTAGACGGGTGGAGGACAGGAGCAGACGTACAGATAAGTGCTGTAAGGGAGATGATCTCGGGGATACGCGTCTCTGCAGCAGCGAGTGTGCGCTGTGTGCAGCGGTCGCGTCGTAGGCTGTGGTTGTACAGCAGCCTACAGAGAGGTTACACCGAGTGCGGGTGCAACTTATTGTGTGCCTCGGAACGAAGCAAAGAAAGATGTTTGACTACTGACGGACTCCCGCGTCAGGTTTTGATGGTGCCAAAGTGGAGTGAGCACAAAGGGGGCGAGAGCGCGCTTGTGTCTCATCTCGAAAACAAAAAACAAAATCACACAACCGTCCAAAACAGGGTTCTCCCGAGATCTACTCGCTGTGCTGGTCTCCCGGGGTCTTTTTCTGACAACCCAAGAAAGTTTCACCGCAAATATGCCGACAATCTCCCTGACGTATGCAGAGTCTCCCTACTCCCTGCTCGACTTCTACACGCAGGCTTCTACCACTGCTGTGTATCAAGGACAAAACTCGCGTAGAACGCACGTATTTGCACATACATACATATGCATCACACAGAGACGACTTGTTTTGTTGCTGCAATCGACTACAGAGAGAATTGCGTGACTCTCATGATGGAATACTGATCGACTTCGTAAGTCGCGAGGGAAGGGATTGCTGTACCCTTCTCGCGATAAAAATATCTCAGGCAGGAACCGCAGGAGGGGGTCAATTCCCTCCTCGTATG